ATTATGAATAGTAACAAGCTCTCTATATAGTAGGTTTTTTCTATAAATACATGCCTATGCTAAAGTTTAATTTATAACTTAGGTACAGTAAGAAATTAATAACTGTGATGTTTAACCCTTGGTTGTCAACTTGACCAGATGAGAGACCTAAAAAATTGGTAAGACACATTTCCGGGTGTTTGGGTGGTGTCCATAGAGACAGCTGGCATGTAGGTCAGAGAATCGTGTGGGGAAAGACCTGCCCCGAACGTGAGTGACACCACCCTGTAGATTGGGGAAGCTCGCTGGAACGTGCATGCTCGACTCCTCTTGAGCAATGTGTTTTTTGCTGCTGCCATTGCATATGGACATCAGACTCCAGATGCCTCGGCCTTTAAACACAGTCCTAGACTACTGACTCTGACTTTCTAGGCCTTCCGCCTTGGACACCTGTTCTGAGCATTCTAGCTGTTTGGACAGAGCAGGCACTGTGGCTCTCCCACAGATGGTCACAGTGGGGACACCCAGTCAGTGATTATGTAATCTGATCTAATAAATCCCCTCTTATAATTGTATATACATTCTACTGGTTCTGTTCCTCTGGTGAATACTCACTAATAATAAAGAAGAGCAGTATAACCATATACTATAATACAAGTTTATACTCTGGGGCCATTATTGAGTAAAATAGGCCACTCGAACACAGTGCTGTGGTACCATAACAGATGACTTGATGAGAGAGATGGTTATTAAGTTCCTAATGAAAAAAAAAAGTTCTTAACAGATGGGTAGCATATTCAGTATGGATATGCTGGGCAGTTGGAGCTTTGTGTTCAGGACAGGACAGAGAAGATGGCATGTTAATATTTTCATGACAGACGGTGAGTAACAAACTATGGAAAGCAAAAACCTGTGGAGGGACTCCTGTGTAATGATACTTACTGTAGACATGTAACAAACAAAACCGTGCGCTAATGGTTCTATCAAGACGTCTTTTCAGTAAAAAGCTATTTATCATAAAACACAAAAAAGATTTTTTCCTCTAGTATGTGATACTATGTATTATATACTATATATTACTATATTATAATATAAATATATATTAAGCACAGCTACGTATTTTGGGGGTTTGTTTGGGAGTTTTGGGGAATACTGGATAAAGTCATTGAAATATTGAATGTTAGTAATGAAAATAAACCCAAGGAAGTAGATGAAGAATAGGTATTTACTTATCCTAAGAGCATATTTTATTTTATTTTGTGGTACCCGGGATTGAACTCAGGACCTTGTGCTTGTGAGGCAGGCCCTAATGCCACTGAGCCTAAGAGCACATTTTAAGAACAACTCTCCACTGAAACTCACTCAAAACACAAGAAGAACTTGGATGATGCCCTAGAAAGACCTTGCTGGGGCTGTGACAGAGAAGCCACTAAAATGGCATTGAGTTCAAGGGTCTCCAAAGGCTTGATTCCGCCAAAAACTCATCTATGGAAAGGAAGCCCTATGCTTTGGGAGAAAGCACATCTCTGTTTCTCCACCCTCCGCTATTGGTAGGTAAGTGCTTGTCCCTTCCTGTTGTCTTGGGGTCAGTGTGACAACTTTAAACATCTGTTTTTAGGTGGGGCAGGCAAGGTCCAAGCTAGGTAGCCAGAAGCTCACAGGTGATTCTTATCTCCCTTCCCCCACACTCTGGGGCCCACTGGTCTAACGCTTAGCTTCTAAATGTCCCCTCCAGGCTTCATATTTGGTAAAAAAAAAAAAATAAATGTCATGCTATTCCTGTAAAAGTGAACTTCTTCATTTTATAAGGTTAGTTTTATGACTCAGGCTTAGTTGGAGACAACTCATTTGTGAATAAGAAATTGCTGTGCTGTTCTTATGTTCTGGATGGAAAACGCATCAGGATATTACATTATCCCCTAGAATTATTGCATTTGCAAGGCCAGATAAAGCAAATAGAGTTTATAAACCGAAAGTCAGTTACCTTCAGGTCAGGATCCATCTAGTGGGGTTCAAGGAGATCTTTGCATTTGGGCACTTTGCTTTATCAGGTTAAAAAGCAGTGGAAAAAAGAATTCTGTATGTTACCTTCCACTAGGCCAAACCTGGGTATGACAGGAAAGAGACACTGATGGTTCTTCCTTGAGTCCAGGTGGGATGGGTCAATTAGAAAATGTTAGATGTAACAAGGGGTGGGTGCAGCATCTCCTGTTCCCTGCGGGGAGGGGAGAAATGGGCAGCAACCTGGCCTGAGCCCCTGCACCTGATGCCCAAAGGGTACCAACGTCCTTCTAGCTACTTTCATTTCCTTTAACAAAGATTTAATATTCATCTCTAGCAGGACCCCATGCTAGTGAAGAGGAGGACATAAAGAGATGTGATGCCTTGCACCCTGTAATTTGGAAGAGGCAGACATCTGCAGGGTAGAAAGAAGCTAGCTACTCAAGAGCTAGGACGAGGAAGGCTACAGTTGAGGCACAAGATGGGTGTGGAAGGCAGTGGGCTCAGAGGTGAGATTACCATAGCTGCAGGAGAAAAGCAAGACAAGAGTCAGGAGCAAGAGCAGTCACTACCTACAGACTGTCACATGCCGGGCCAAGGGGCAGGTGGTTGCACTGGCCTTGGAGCTGGGTGTGGTGCGATAAATAATGGCCCCCAAGGATGTCTACATCCAAATCCCTAGATTTCATATCATCAGGGATTTTTGCCACTGTGGTTAAGTTAGGGATCGTGAAATGGTGAGATTTTTTTCCCGGATTATTCTGGTGGGCCATGGGTCATCACAAAGGTCCTTACAAGGAGACAGTAGTGCTATAATCAGGAGATTCTACCCTGCTGGCTTTGAAGACAGGACATGCAGCCATGGCCATAGAGTGTAGCCGGCCTCTAGAAGTTTCAAAAGACAAGAACATGGTTTCTCTAGAGCCTCCACAGGCAACAAATCCCTGCTGATACCTTGGCTTTAGCCCAGTGAGATCCATGTCAGACTTCTCATCTCCAGACAGGACGTGAACAAATTTCTGTTGTTCTAACCCTCTAGGTTGTGTAGTATGTTGCAGCAGTGACGGGAAGCTATACAGATGCAGAAATTATTTGTGATCCCTAAGGTCACGTTCTGTGTGAGCAGATGCCTTGCTATGATAGTGGATTCACATCCATCTTGTATAAAACTATGGCAGAAGATTCCCTCTAACAACTGTAACTGGTGGCTCAGGGTGGAGACTTGCTGTGGCTACTCTCCCCAACCACTGGGGACTAGCTCTGCAAAACACTGCAACGGAGGAACCATCACAAAGACAAGTTAATGCTCTGATTGCGTGAGTGTTACTACAGCTCTAGAGTGACTTATTGCTTTAATGGGATGAATTGAGATCAAGGGTCAAGCTGGAACTGGGAGATTATGTGTGTGCAGTTATGGGAGATTATGTGTGTGCAGTTAATGTTATGCCTCACTAATATCAGTCATCTGAGGTCTGATTATTTACATTCTCCAGCAGAACCACTTAGGTCCTTAAAGGAAGAGGCTGTAGCCACACCAGGCTTCTGGAGATTTAACAATCACCATCACAACTGGTAGTATTTATCTGGGGAACTACTAATACTCTCTGGTTATGTGCATCCTCAACTCCATGTGTGAAAACCAAATGTGGAAAATGTTGTGGGCTTGTAAAAAAAAGTTTGTGATTTAAAAACAATTTTATAAAAAACCCAATTTTATCCCAAGATGGTTAAGAACATTCGCATTTGCCATCTCACCGAGTTAGCTGGGGTAACTGGGGCAAAGTGCCAAAGAAGTCAAAGATTTTGTTTGTTGTGTTTTGTTTCACAGTACTGGAAATTGAACCCAGGACCTCTGCATTGAGCTGCCTTCCCAGCCATTTTTCATTTTAAGAGAAAACCTCACTAAGTTATGAACTTGTGATCTTCCCGCCTCTACCTCTCACAGTGCTGGGATTACAGCATTACTATGCCTGGCTCGAAGTCCTAGTTTTACTCTCAGATCCTGCTAGCCATTTCCACCCCTTACTAGACCCAGACCTGGCAATCAGAGCCCGCAGACCAGTGGCTGCATCTGTGCCATTTCAGCGTGAGCTGGGCTTGGGAAGGGGGAGGCCCATGCTCTCCGCTAGCACTGATGAGTGTGTGCATCTCGAAAAGGCCTGCATTCCCTGCGTTTCCTTTGGATGATTCCAAAAGCACTTAAGAGTGTTCCTTCTGAGAAGGAAAATATTACTTTATTCTTCTACTTATCTTTTCTCCTGCATGTGCACTACAGTCTTTTCAATTCTGCAACTTTTGTTTCCTTGGGCTACATAATGTATTGTTGCACTCTTCTGAATGATCACTCTAAATTATTATATGTGCTGCCGAAGAGAGCACAGTCTCTCTAAATTATTGATAATAATGGAGAAAAGATCTCAAGAAGAGAGATAATTAGGTGAATTATATGGCATTAAAACACTTTCTGGATGGAAAAATGATAATGCTTTTCTTAGGAGCTGCTCTCCTAGCTGCTGTTTCTTCTCTCAGACCCATGAGAACTCTGGAAATTCATGAGTTTCTGACTCCTGTCCTGCATGAGGGTGGCCTGATGCTCACCAGAACCCCACCCATTTGCCTGCAGGCTTGCTTAGTTCACAAGTATTTATTCCCTGACTCCATCATGAAGCGTTGGCATGAAGATGTGACTCTAACAAAAATCCAAGTTCAGTGCTTTAGAACAAATCAGAAAAAAAATCAAGTCTCCAAAGCTCTTATTAAACTGAGTATGCCTGAATCAAGATCAGAGAAGAAAAAGACAAAAAGTAAAAGCAGAGGGTTATATACCATATTCTTTGCAAGTGCTCACACACTGTAAGTAAACCAAAGTACAAATTGCCACCAACTGCTGGTGGATGTGTTTTTCTTGTTAGACACCAAGCAGTTCCAATTACATGGCCCTGGTAAGTTATACTTACCCACTTTAATTTAAACAGAAACATTTAAGGTTTGGCATAACACACACACACACACACACCTACCTTCCTCTCCCACTTTGCTCAACTGTTTCAATCGTGTTTCCTACTACTGGCCCTGGACAGGTCAGAGTGTTCGCTTTAAGTGACCAATCGGCAGAGGCTGCCTCCCATGTAGGCTGACATTCTCATGCCATTGTCACGTGCACTCGAAGACTTCAGCCAGTCTCTAAATGTCAGCGGGAGATGCCCTGCTCAGGCTGGGGAGCGGGGTGGTCCTAAAGCTTGCTGGGTGGCAAGAGAAGACTTTTCTAGTGACGGGCACATCTGGGAACAGCTAGGACTGGGAGAACCTCAGGGCTGATCCAAGATTTTCTGCACAGTGTAAGAAAATCCTAACAGTACCCCACCCACATCTCCCACCTCTCCAACTGTGGTCCTGAGTCTGTGCCTTCTGATACCAGAAAAGTAGAAGCCTCACTGGTCACAGAAAGGAAATGTAAGCCCCGGAAAGAGATCCAGCAGAGATCTGGCAGGGATAGCAAGGGAACACAAGATCTGAGATCTTGCCCTACAATCAGGAGACCATAAAATAGCCCGCACTTCCTTAATCTCCATCAGATTCACTCGCCATGACTACTACCACATTTTACCACTAGAGGGCAACAGTGTTTCCAAAATGAAGGGTCTTGCTGAACCAAGAAATCACAGAATCAAGGAGTATCTCAGTTAGAAATGGTCTTAAAAATGACTTTGAGGCTGGGGATTTAGCTCAGTGGTTCCGTTGCCTGCCTTGAAAGCGAAAGGTCCTGAGTTCTACCCCCAGTAAAAAGAAAGTCATCTGGTGCAATGGTTTTCAAGACTTTTTTAAAGTTGCAAACCACATCAAGAACTGAGTTCCTCATTCCAACTTCACTCATGCACATATATTGGAAACACATTTTGAGACATCACTTACCCTTGCTTCTGTAGCACGCTCTTAATTTGTATTCTAAACAATTTCATTAAAAAACAATAAAACAGGGCTAGGGACTACTGCTCAGTGGTAGAGTGTGCGCCTAGCATGTATGAGGTCCTGGGTCAATCTCCAGCACTGAAAAATACAACTGGACCCTACTAAATTGATTTCATTACTTACTCCTGGGCCCTTAGTTTGAAAAACTATTGCCCAGCCTCTTGTCTTACAAAGGAAAGCAGTGGCCCCTACAATGGGGAGGGACCCAGCTTCTCTCACTGACCCATCCACCTCTTCGCCCAAATCTTCCTGGATGAATGGCAGATGCTGTATTGCACCTAGGCACTCATCCTATTAATGCTCAGATAGGACAGAGTCCAAACCAGAGTGTTGGGGGTCTTGCCATTTTTTCTCATTTCCAGTGCTGCTGTTGCTCTTGTAACTGAGGCAGGCATTGCTTCAGCTACTGCCCTAGGGGCTTTATGTGGGACACTTCTGTAATGCTTACCCAGGCAGCTTCAAAACCGACCAAATCTCAAAGCCTTCCCAAACGTCCCCACCCCAAGCCTGAATTAGGACCACAATATCTAACCTACAGCCTAACACAAAGTGGGTGCACAAGGAGTCGAGGAATACAATGCCTCTCCCCCAGCAGGTCTGACAGTAAGACATCTTTCTACCTTACAGTTGGTGTGTGTATCATCTCACCAGTTGGCAGAACAAGATTTCTATTCCAAATGGGGAAAGAGCCAGAAAGACTTATATGACCTTCTCTATTTTGTGTGGTTCATTGGAGGAAAAGCTGGGCCTTCATCGGGGATTCCCACAATACCAGACAGCTGTTCCCCTATTTCACAGAGCCCACGGAAGGACCCGAGTGGGAATCAGCACTCACTCCCAGCCACTCTCCTGAGTCTCTGCTACCCTAGGACCAATGGCGTGTTTTTATGGCAAAATTAACACATTCCCTGAACTGGGCTGGCTGATCACTCTTGTAGTTGGGCTTTTCTCTAGCGATAAGGTTTGGAGGAGGTAGAGGAATGAGGACAACAATTTCAGTGAATTCCTGGGGAAAACTGAAATTGCACCGGTCCGCAGAGATTTTGATCACTGACCATGTTTTCCATGGCTCTCATAACCATATAACTTATAAAATCAGGGAGGGTCTGTAGAGGTAAACCAGATGTCAATAAGACATGATCATTTCTTAGGGCGAATGGCCAGCATTCTGCTACTTATCCACGCCTCGTCCCTCTCATACATACCTGCCTGTCTCTAATTCATTTATTTCCTTTGTATGTAAGGGAGGATTTTTTAAAATTAAGGAAAATTACACTAATACAGATGAAAAAAATCTTCGTGTAAGTGAAGAGAATGAGGATTTTTTGTTTTGTTTTGTTTTTTTGGTACCGGGGATCGAACTCGGGTCCTTGTGCTTGCAAGGCAGGCCACCGAACCGCTGAGCTAAATCCCTGGCCCCAAGCGAATGAGTGTTTACAGAACTCACTCAGGTTGAGAGCTGGCTTGTTTTGTGGAAGATGCCAATTGTTTAGAAATTTTTCCAAGGGTGTGACTAAGTGTATGAAAATGTGAGGTATCTTATTGTTTCTTTTAAAAAAAGGTCTTGGGAAGAAGAAAAATCCCTGCAATTTGCAAACTATTATACTTTATTATACTAATATTATATATTTATTATACTATATTATGATACTATATTATACTTTAGAAACTGGGCTTGGTTTTCTGTAAGGAATCCTCCCTGTGGGAACCCAGAAGCAAAAACTTGAGAGCCCCATTTAGGTTCAGGAGGCAGCTGCCTGGCCTCCCCTACCTTGATGGGAAAACTCTGCTCTCCCACTCCTCTATTGGGCTAGAAAAACTGCCTCAGATGGCAAAGATGGTTACAAACAGGTAATGAGAAGAGTTTGCCTTTTCCTAGGAACAATTTAATTTAACGTTTCAACAAATTTAGCAGCCTTGTCTTTGAAGATCCAAGGTGAATTTCAAAAGGTGAAGCTTTTCCCACCCATGTCTGCTATCAGGGTTAGGGAGACTTAAATGAAAAATCCTACCTGCCACTCTCTAAAACTGCACCTGTTTACATCCTGTTCTCAGTTTTGCATTCTTTGCAGTCATGTGTCTTTCTACAGGCTTTGTGGAATATTTGGGGACTCCTATAAGAAGCTACTGTTGCTTTGGGGAGAGTACGGTTCTATAACTTTTGTACTGTTTGATGAGAAAGCAATAGACCGACCAGCCTGGGCTACACGGTGAGTTCCAGGTCAGTCTCAACTACATAGAGAACCTGTCTCAAAAAACAAACAAACAAACAAAAAGCAAGAAAAGAAAGCGATAAAGCTTTACAGAGAACCATACGTTGATATCAGCAAGCAATCAATGGGACTTAAAGTCCTCATTCTTACGGTGCCCAAAGCGAACAGCCCCGGTCCCCTGACACCAGGCCTCACGCCCATTTCATCGGGCAGAGCTAGCACCGCAAGGCTCCCGCTCCGGGTCCGCGGGCCAGCGGGCGCGCGCACAGG